CCCGCTCTGTTCTCAACCCCCCTTCTTCCCCTTCGGGGAGGGGTTTACCCCTCCCCCTACCCCCTCCCCCTGGGCCTGGAGAGGTCCCTCCGCGGGTCGCCGGAGGGGTCTTTGTCGACTCCTCGGAGGGCTAAAAAACGACACCCCTCACGAGGATTCTGGCCCCGACGGGGGGAGGGAGAAAAGTGCTCCCCCCATCTGTGATCGATCGCCCGACAGATGGCCCCAAGATTCCTCCCAGACCCCTCCAAGAGGCCTCCAAGAGGCCTCCAAGAGCCCCCAAGAGGCCTCCAAGAGGCCCCCAAGATGCCCCCAAGAGGCCCCCAAGAGGCCCCAAGAGGCTCCCCCGAGGCACCCACGACGCTCCTGGAAGCCCCTGGAGCCGCCAAGAGGCCCCCAAGACGCCCCAAACGGCATCCAAGAGGCTCCCAAGAGGCCCGAAGAGGCTCTCCCAAGGCACCCAAGACGCTCCTAGAAGCCCCTGGGGCCGCCAAGAGGCCCCGAAGACGCCCCAAGAGGCCTCCAAGAGGCTCCCAAAACGACTCACACCACGACGAGGGCCCCGAACGACTCACACCACGAGGAGCCCGAACGAGTCACACCAGGAGGAGGGGCCCGAACGACTCACACGACGACGAGGGGCCCGAACAACTCACACCACGAGAAGCCCGAACGACTCACACCAGGACGAAGAGCCCGAACGACTCACATCACGAAGAGCCCGAACGATTCACACCAGGAAGAAGGGCCCGAACGACTCACACCAGGACAAGAAACCCCAAACGACTCAAACCACGAGGAGCGCTTTCTCTCCCTCCTCCTCCGCCTCGTCCTTCTCCCGCTCCCACCACAAGGAGGATGTACAAGGAGGCGGGAGGAAGGAGGAACAGGGGAGATATGCGGGGGCAGGCGGAAACACGCCTGAAAAACACGACTGTCGGCATGCTTCGCAAGAGTTGCTGTTTTGAGATGGGCTGGTGGGGATACGCGAAGCGTAAAGAATTTAGGATCCGTGTTGAAAGAACGCGTTATCCTGTCAGCCCCGAAGCCCCGCTCTCGTTTGATGTCTCTCTCCCTTCATATTCCCCCCTCTCTCGTTTCATGAGATCCGTATTGGACTGATGTTTATATTTGCCTGTGTTATCTATTTGCTTTTTGTTTTGCTCGCCTCGTATCATCGCTCGCTTGCTGCATGCTTTGGTTCGAGTCGACTTGAGAGATTATGGCTTCTGGCGCGGGAGCCCAGGAAAGAAGAGGGCCGCTTCCCTAGGGCTGACGCGCTCGCCGCCATATCCCGCTGCGGAGCCAGGGGGGACGCGGTGCTCTCTCTCTCTCTCTCTCTCTCTCTCGGTTCCGCAGCTTAGATGCCCTTACACACGCTCGGGGCGTGTTTTTGTTCCCCCCAACCATCCTGTGGTGTTGGGTCCTCGTTTTGAAGAGACAACGCCCCGCGTTCCCACTCCTCCTCCTCCCACTCCTCCTCCCCCTCCTCCCTCGTCCCATCCGCTTCGTCATCGTCATTGTCAGCGTCATCATCGTCATCATCATCGCCATCGTCATGATCCACATCATCATGAGCATCGCCATCGCCATCGTCAGCGCCGCGCCCCTCAGAGGGTTCGTGGCCCCACAAGGAGCTCCACCGAAGGCCCTAGTGACAGGGTTCGCATGCGGGGACCGCCATCCGTTTTTGCACACCTCTCAAACGGTTCGTGTCCCTGTAGGGAGCTCCACCGAACGCCCCACTGGCAGGGTCCACATGGCGGCGCCGCCCCATTTTGGCGCACCCATCACGCGGTTCGTGGCCCGATGGGGGGCTCCACCGAAGGCCCCAGTGGCAAGTTCCACATGGCGCCGCCGCCCCATTTTGGCGCACCACTCACACGTGTCGTGGCCCCATAGGAAGCTCCACCGCACGCCCCACTGGCAGGGTTCACATGGCGGCGCCGCCCCGTTTTGGCGCACCTCTTACACGGTTCGTGGCCCCATAGGGAGCTCCACCGAAGGCCCCACTGGCAAGGTCCACGTGGAGGCGCCGCACTCATGTCGGCACACCCCTCACACGGTTCGTGGTAAGGAGCTCCACCGACGGCCACATTGGCAGGGTCCACATGGCGACGCCGCCCCATCTTGGCGCACGTTTCACACGGTTCGTAGTCCTATAGAGAGCTCCACCGACGGCCTCAGTGGCAGGGTCCACATGGCGGCTCCGCCACATTTCGGCACACCCCTCACACGGTCCGCGGCCCCATAGGGAGCTCCACCGAAAGCCCCACTGGCAGGGTCCGCATGGCGGCGCCGCCTCATTTTGAAGCACCCCTCACACGGTTCGTGGCCCCATAGGGAGCTCCACCGAAGGCCCAGTGGCAGGGTCCACATGGCGGCGCCGCCCCATTTTGGCGCACCCCTCACACGGTTCGTGGCCCCATGGGGAGCTCCGCCGAAGGCCCCATCGGGAGGATCCGCATGGCGGTGCCGCCCCATTTTGGCGCACCACTCACACGGTTCGTGGCCCCATAAGGAGCTCCATAAGGAGCTCCACCGAAAGCCCCAGCGGGAGCGTTCGCATGGCGGCGCCGCCCCATTTTGGCACACCCCTCACACGGTTCGTGTCCCTGTAGGGAGCTCCACCGAAGGCCCCAGCAGGAGGATCCGCATGGCACCGCCGCTTCATTTTGGCACACCCCTCACGCGGTTCGTGGCCTCACAGGGAGCTCCACCGAAGGCCCCAGCGGGAGCGTCCGCATGGCACCGCCGCCTCATTTTGGCACACCCCTCACACGGTTCGTAGCCCCATACGGAGCTCCACCGAATGCCCCACTGGCAGGGGCCACGTGGCGGTGTATGATGATGATGGTGGTGAGAGGGTGTATAAATAAGTGTGCGTGTGCGATGGTGACACTGATGATGTGGTAGTATATGATCGATGGTGATGAGTGTGAGTGTCATGATGACGACGATAATGGTGACGGTGGTGATAATGACGATGATGTGAGGCTGATGATGTGGGTGTGATGGTCATCAAACGCAGGAGTTGGGGGTGAGGTCTTCGCGGGGTGCCCAGAGAAAACAAACATCCAGTTAGGACGTGGGGAACTTACAATGCAAGCGAACCGATGTCGAGTCAAAGTGAAGCAGGCCACTGGAGGTCCAAGTACACACCGCGTTGCCAAGGGAAGGCCAGACAATCCATTAAAGCGCAGTTCAAAGCGAGGCCAGTCAAAGCAGACAATAGCAATAACCACAACGCGCATGAATCAAATCAAATCGATGCTGCGCGCAACTCTGCATTACAAGACGAAAGCTAGAAACAACGCCACGCCCTAACATGTGAACCGTAGCTGCCACTGCAGCTTCACCGAAACCAATGTTACGCAGAATCCTCTTCGTGGACCGATGTCTAGGTCAACGTCAGCTTGCCTATCACCGACACGAGCGCTCCCGATTGGGATCGAGCCCGCTCCAGCACTTGCGTTGGAAGCAATGTCACGCTGCCTTCTTGCGCCACCACCCCCCGCCCACCCCCGTGCAGGATGACGCCAACTGTGCACCCGCACCAGCCTGGGGCTTGGCAAGCCCTTCGCCCCAGGACGGGCCCCACCAGGGCCCCAGGCCACCTAACCTCGCGCATCGCGAGGCTACCCTCTCGGCCTCGCGCCGCCCCCTGGAGACCGAGACCCCCGACGTCAAGATTCTGTCCAGAACGTGGCCCCGGGACCCCCAGAGGTCTGGACCCTTTCCCCAGGACCGGTGTTGTGTCCCGAGTCGTTGCTTGACGATCCCGGGGCCCGGCGAGGGCCCGGCAAAAGATACCATCCTGGCGACAGACCCAACCATATGATTGTGTCTGTACCGTCATTGTGAGTATCGCCTTCGGTGGATCTCCTTATGGGGCCACGGAACGTTTGAGAGGTGTGCCGAAATGAGGCGGCGACACAATGCGGACCCTGGCATTTTGTCCTTCGCTGGATCTCCTTACGGGGCCACGAAACGTGCAAGGAGTGTGCCGAAATGAGGCGGCGACGCCATGTGGACCCTGGCATTTGGTCCTTCGCTGGAGCTCCCTGTGGGGTCACGAAACCTGTGAGGGGCGTGCCGACATGAAGCGGCGACGCCATGCGGACCCTGGCATGTGGGCCTTAGTTGGAGCTCCCTGTGCGGGCACGGAACGCGTGCGGGTTGTACCCGAATGAGGCGGCGACGCCATGCGGACCCTGGCATCTGGGCCTCGGTTGGAGCTCCCGGTGGGGGCACGAGTGAGGGCTGTACCCGAATGAGGCGGCGACGCCATGCGGACTCTGGCAGTGGGGCCTTCGCTGCTGCTCCCTGTAGGGGCTGGAAGCGTGTGAGGGGTTTGCCGAAATGAGGCGGCGACGCCATGCGGAGCCCCCGGCATTTGGGCGTCAGTTGCAGCTGCCTGTGCGGAGGCGACATGTGTGAGGGGTGTGCCGGCATGAAGCGGCGCCGCCATGAAGACCCTGGCAGTTCCGCCTTTGTTGGTGCTCCCTGTGGGGGCACGACACGTGTGAGGGGTGTGCCGACATGAAGCGGCGACGCCATGCGGACCCTGGCATTTGGGCATTCGCTGGAGCCCCCTATGGGTGCTCGAAACGTGTGAGGGGTGTGCCGGAATGAGGCGGCGACGCCATGCGGACCCTAGTATTTCGGCCTCAGTTGAAGCTCCCTATGGGGGCACGGAGCGCGTGTGAGAGAGAACTACGGAGGGCAGAGGCAGTGCCGAAGGCAGGAGCACAGACGGGAGGAGGGAGGACGGGGAAGAGGACGAGGGGCGCTGTCACTTGAAAACGAGGACCCAACACCACAGGATGGTTGAGAACTACAAACCGTCCGTCATGACTCTTCCAAGGTGCGAGGGGGTCTGGGGAAGGCGAACTCCCCGGCCCAGGCCGCGACGCGCGAAGCACGGGCGTCTCCGGGCACCACGAGGGCAACCCCAGCGGTCCAGTGCAGGCGCACAACTTTCGTCCATTGTCGGCCGCTCCTTGCGGCGTTGTAGAACCTCTCGAACCCCTTGGGGGGCGGCTTCTTCGGCTCACCTCGGGTCTATGTGCGCACGGGTCGATGATCCTCAGAACGCGTGTTCGCGCCAACGTGTAGTTACTTGTCCACCGACGCCCTTCGATACGACGCAGGCTCCGCAATGAAGGCCCACACAAGAGATGTGTGCTATCGGCGGAGTCGAACGGGGTACAGCCCACATTTGGCTTACAGATGTTCTGAGGATCATCGAAGGGGGCGATCCTTGCCGAGTGCGACCTCTGGTGCGCTGATGCTCTTCTGAGGGATGGGGGGGGCGCGCTCCCCCAACAAGTAACCTCCTGGGCCCCGTCTTGGCGCTCCCAGGCGCCCCGCCCCCTCGCGGGGGAACAGTTCAGATGCCGATCCCGCTGCTCCCCGGAGTTCTCCCAGGGGGCGCGGTCTGACCAGGACCTCGAGGCGAATGCGGCCGTGGCGACGGGTGACCTCGGAGGCCCAACAAGGGCAACAAGACACGATAAGACGGCGGGGCGTCCCAGGGCGCCCGAGAGGGAGAGGGGATTCGCAGATGATGGCCGGAGGCACGTGCACGGCAAGGGGGGGGACCAGGAGACGTATCGAAACGAGAAGGTGCCACGGAACCCGGGGAGACGTCCTGGCCCCGGCATAACAGATATCCACGCCCGAACCCCTCTGGCCGCCCCCGGCTGTTCGCCTCGTGTTCCAGGCCCAGCGGCGCCAAAGGTCGCCCTGGCGAAAGGGCACCTCTCAGATCTCAAACCCCCGACGCCATGCTTTGTTTCGCATCGTCGACCCTGGATGCCTCGACCCTTTCCCCCGGGACGGGCTATTCTTCGCGAGTCGTTTTTGTCACGGCCCAGGGGCCCAGCGAGAAACCCAATCACCCAGAATGAAAAACCTAGCCGACCGCGACTTGTGCTCACGACGCTAGCGGCTTCGTGGGCCTCTCTCAGGGAGCAGAACATGACACACGTAAGCATTAACTTTTGAAAACCCAATGGGGCCCCCCAGCGGCGCCGCTCCTGGCACGCTCCGCGCGCCAAAGTGAGGGGTTCAGCGCCGATCCGAGAAGACCGCGCGGACGTCTGGCAGTTTATGCTTATGCAATCATTTTCTCCCCGATGTGTGCCCGTTGTTTTCAAGACTCTGGCAAGTTCACTTGCATGGAGCGGGAGATGGGAGGGAGTGGCGAGATCCGAAATGAGATCTGGACGTCACGCGAGTCAGAACTCCCTTGCGCGCCTTTGCGGTCCAGCGCTGTCCGAAAAGGAGGCGGATGGGGGGGAGGTGAAATGCCATGCAAGCAAACCTGCCAGAAGCTGAACAACAACCATCTCTCTCAGAGGTCTCCTAGATGGGGTCGGAGTAGATGAGGTCGGAAGATCGCGCCGCATCGCCGATGTATCGGCGATGCATCGGCGATGCATCGGGGATGCACCGGCGATGCATCGTCTACGCCGGCAATGCATCGGCGACGTCGACGTGAAGCAAATCGGGCTTCACGTCGAGCTGCATCGGCGATGCATCGGCGAGCGCGGCGCGATGCTCCGACCCCGTCTACTCCGACCCCCTCTGGGAGGCCAAGACCTCCCAAGCTCCTGCAAACGGGACGTTAGTAAACGGGCCGATAGTCGAGGGTGCGTTTTCAATTGTGTTTTCAAACCAATTGATTTGCAGCACACAAGTGCGAGGTACACTCACGCACTGGTGCGAGGTACGCGCCCCGTCGCCCCGTTCTCGCTGGAAGAAGCCCCTGAAACTACCGCCCCGTTTACGAACGCCCCGTTTGCAGGGGCTTGGACCTCTGCCCCCCGATTTCCGCATCGTCCATCACCGCCGCCCCCGCCGGCGCTGCCGCAGAAGCGCGCCGGGCGCCCCGGGGCCCCGCCCTGAGTATCGTCTACCCGATCCCCATCCCCAGCGGCGTGGCCTGGGCCCCACTGGCCGATTTACGCCCCCAGATGGGGATACAGGTCGCTCCCTTCGGGTTTCGAGGAGTGTACCCCCAGCTGGGGTGGTGCTCCGGTGGGGGTCTCGACGGGGTTGGGGATGGGGACGGGGATCGGAGACGGGACACGGACGCCCGGCGCCGGGGGCCCCCGCGGCGGCGGCACGCGGCGCGCCGCCCGCGCCCGCAGCGCCGCCAGCATCGCCAGTGCACGGGCTGCGGCGGCCGGCCACGGGGCCGCGCCTCGGGGGTGCCTCGGCCCAGGCTCGGCGGCGCGCCGAGCCCTGGGACCCAGACCCCCTCTTCCTCTCCTCCTCCTCCTCCTCCTCCTCCTCCTCCTCCTCCTCCTCCTCCTCCTCCTCCCGACCTCCTCCCCCTCCTCCTCCCCCTCCGCCTCCTCCTCCTCCTCCTCCTCCTCCGCCTCCTCCTCCTCTTCCTCCCTCTGGGATCGCAGGGGAGGCCGACATGGAGGGAAAGCGCCGCACCTGCAACAGAGCTCGTGTCGTGAAGGAAGCAGGGCATAAGATTTTACGCTATGTTCGGTCGGTCTCTGGGGGCCCTCACTGTGCCTCGGGATCGTCACACAACAACTCGGGATGAAACACTGGTCAGGGGAAAAGGGCTAGACCTCTCTGGGGGGCCACGTCGGGAACAATTCACGACATCGGGGGTCTCGGTAGGAAGCAACTCCTGGGAGGTCTTTCGTCATAACGAATAAGGTAAGAAGCATAAGGCCCGATGCAGGGGCCGGGAGTACCGAAGAAGGCCAGATTGACCAGGGCACTGAGCCGAATCAGGTGGGATTCAGCCGAATTGTAAAAAGGATTCTGCTTGACTTGGCTGGCTGTCGTCCACAGAAATACCAGCGCCGATGCACCATGAGATCCGGGCGCTGCGAGTTTGTGGCCCAGGGCGGTTTCGCCAGGTTCGGGCCCCAGAACCCCCTCATATCGATCCAGAACGAAAGATGCCGCAGGGAGATAGCGTCTAAGTTACCGTTCGTGATTCCTTGCGATGCTATACCTGTTTAGCAACGTCGGATCTCAGGAGAGGGGGGCTTGGATCTCAAGGCAGGGGGGAAGGCATAAGGGGCGGGTTTGTTCAGAAGGCTCAAGAGACTTCCAGCCTTCCGAGAAGCTTCCCGGGCCTTCTCCGAGGGCCGCAAGGGGCCTATCAGAAGGCCGGAGGGATTCCTGCGAAGTCCCGCCGCCTTATAAGAAGGCCTGCCACCCCATCTCAATTCTCGATGTTGGCTTGCTGGGGGGATCAATGGGGCGAGCAACGTGCAACTTTCGTGTCCCTCCTGAAGACACCAGAACATACACCCTCATAAGAAGCACCCCGACAAGCGAAGTCATTTAGCAAGTGCACCCAAGGAAGGAATCGAACAGGGTAGGGCTGTTCAGTAAACGCCCAGTGCCGTTGACGCAACGCCTGGTATCGAGGTGACTTTGGGCCCCAGGGGGCCCCTCTAGGGCACAAAAGGTGCACCTGTCTTCCAACCTCCGCTTTAGACGCCCGAAATGGGTATGGAAAAATAGGTACAATGCCTAACAACAGATGTTGTCCCAAACCAACAGCGGCCGTTGTTGGGCAGGCGGCCTTCTCTCAAATAGACACGGGCCGCGGCGACACCGACAGCGAGCCCTGTTCAAGATGAAAGGAAACCGCTGCTGGGCATCGTGCCCATTTTCCTTCCGTACCCATTTCGTTCGTGCCGACCCGCACTCCTCGCCCCCCCCCCCCCCCCAGGCTCGGGTCGGGCGAAAGGGGGGGATAGCAAAGGGGGGGTTTGAGAATCAGCTCACGTAGCTGATTTTCCCGGCGCCTCCCGGCGCCGGGAGGCGGCCATGTATCGAGGAACGGGCCCCTCGGTGAGGCCGAAACCAGCTGCATGCAGCAAATTCCGTAACCCCCCCTTTCCCAATCCCCCCCTTTCGCCCCCCCTTTCCCCCCCCCCCCCCTTTCGGGTTGGGGGGGGTAAGGGTTCCACATGTGTTTTTTCTATGTTTCCCGCCCCCCCCCCACTGGAAATCGAGGGTAAATCTGAGCCTTCGGGTTGGGTTGGGGTGGTTTGGTGGGTGGTGGCGAACTTCCCTCCCCCCTCGGAGCGCCGCCGGCAGGTGGCCGTCGCCCGCGGCTGCGGCCGCGGCCGCGGGCCCGTCGCCCGCGGCGCCGCGGCGCGCCCTCGATGGCGGGCCGCGGCCCCCGAGGAGAGGCCGAGGCCGGGCCGCGAGCTTGAGGCTCTCGGGAGCTGCGCGCGGAGAGGGGGGGGGGGGGGGCGGCGCGAGACTCCTCCTCTGTCTCCTGCCTCCCCCGGCCTCTTCTTCCCTCCTCCTCCTCCTCCTTCTCCTCCGCCTCCTCCTTCTCCCCCGCCTCCTCCTTCTCCTCCGCCTCCTCCGCCTCCTCCTCCTCCTCCTCCTCCTGCTCCTCCTCCCCCTGACACTCCCCCATCCGCCTCCTGACACTCCCCTGAGATGCGACGTAGCGAACAAAAGTGCAACAATGTAAAGAATCACGCCAGAAGCGCACCCCATCGTTCTGCGTCACTGTTCGAGCGGGATCGGTCTGCGAGGGTCCCCGGGTTCGAAAAAAGGCCAAAAACGCCAGGGTCGAAAAAATTGCAGCGCCAGGGTCTCAGGGCCCTCCTCCTCCCCCTCCTCCGTCTCTTCCTGCCCTCCTCCTTCTCCTCCTCCTCCTCCTCCTCCTCCTCCTCCTCCGCCGCCGCCCACGGCATCAAAACTTACAAAAAGGCAGCCCAGGGCCCACGGCCGTGTCGGGCCGCGGCCTGCTAAGCACAGGCTTGCCATGCTGGTGCCCACTGGGCAGGAAAATGATCCTCGCCCTTCCTCCTCTCGGCGGCGAACGAGCGAGGGGTAAAGTGAGAGGTAGACGGCTCGAGGTCCGAGATTTTCGGGCGCCCTCGTCCGTTTTCGGCGGCCATCGGGCCTCGGGGTGCGTTCCAGCGGCTGTGCCTCGCCGGGAGCGCCCCGGGGACGCCCGGATCGTCCCGAACGGCTGTCGGAGACCCGAAGTATGATCCAAAAGGCCACGGCGGCGCGCCAGGAGGGCTGGGAACGAGAAGGCGAAGGACTTCTCAGGAGAGGCGGGGCTTCTCAGAAGGCCGGGGGGCTTCCGCGCCTGCTGGGAAGGCCCGCCCGTTCTCACTTCCCCCGGGCTCGCCGCCGATCCTCCGTAGCCATTCGTGCACAAGCACTGAGCGCCCTTCCCACGCGAGGCTCCTGAGCGGTGCAGGCAGGCTCCGCCCGAGCTTTTGCCTTGTCTGTCAACGGTTATTGCAGCCGAGCGCACTGGAAGAACACGGAACTGTCATTCTGGAATCATGACCGTCATCATTACCACCACCATCATCAACATCACCTCGTCGAAACAAACTTGTTTTCCGATCCTACACCGTGCCGAGGAGTACGGAATGAAGCGTCCTCAGGCCCAATCGAGCTCCCGAAACTCAGCATTGGATGCTCTGTAAAGTTGGCATGCCTGAAGCGGTTCCTGTGGCAAGCGGGTCATGGGCACCAGAGTCTTCCCCCAGGACAAACCCAACTTTTCGTCCCGAACAGTTTTCTGAAAGCCCCCAGGCCCGTGAAGGGCCCTGGGAGCCCGAACACCGCGAAAATTGCACGACGCGTTCCCCTCAAGGTCCGCTTCCTCCATGGCGAAGGAGGCCCGAGCCTCCGAATTCCAGGCGCTGCCAGGCGTTCCTGGGGCGGCTCGAGCAAGTTCGGGCAAGTGCAAAAAGAGCGGGAACGTCCGTGTCTTACCATGCAGCTCTTCCTAATCTCTAGTCCTATTCGTCTTGCCATTCAGCACGCCCGAAACGGGTACGTACGAAAAACGTGGGCTCAATTACCACTGACGAATGTGGCCCAACATCAACAAGGGCCGCTGTTCGGCAGGCGACTGTCAATCTCAAACAGGCAACGCCCGCGGCGACGCCGACAAAGAAAGAATTCCATAATGGACAGATAACGCGGTTGGCCTTCGCAACATAACTACGTACACATCTCTGCTGGGACGAAGATCATACGGATACCGCTATTCCGTGGACCTCTCCCGGGGTGCGTTCTGACTGGAATCCCGAGCCGAGGAGACGGGGGCTCTCTCCAGCACGAGCCGCAGAATCGGTATGTCTTCCTCCTCTGAATCCCCGCCCCCCGAGCCAGCGGCGGGCCAGCCGCGGACACGGAAGGCCGCGGGCTCTCCACGGCCCCGCGCCCACGGCCTCCCCCAGGGGGCCGCGCGATGGCGCTCGGAGCGAGAAGCGGTGGCCAGGCTGCCAGAGGCTGCCGAGGCGGGCCACCGCTCGCGAGAGCCACCCGCGACGGCGAAGCAGGGGCTGCCAGGGTGGGCCGGGGCGGGGACCACCGGGCAGGTGCTGTGTGGGGGCGTGTCCTGAAAAGGGGGGGGGGGGACGAACGGGCCGTCAAGGGCCCCTTTTTGGCCCCCATTGGCTCCACAAGGGCCCCCTGCAGGGCCCCCCCCTGCAGGGCCCCTCTCGTCCCCCCCCCCCCCCGGTAGGTCCCCCCCCCCACTTAGCAACCGCCCGAGGCCAGAGACCGAAGACAGCCCAAAACCTTCCGTCGTGAGTCTCGCTTCCCGACGCGGGGGGTCTGGGTCCCGCTCCCCGCGCCACCCTCGCGCGCAGAGCACCCCTCGTGGGCGCAAAACGTATCCTTATCCGCGGCCTCGCGGGCCAAGGGGCCCCTGGGCCGCGACGCCGCGGACGGGGCGTTTCTCCGCGGACGCCCCGCGCGAAACCAAAACGTACCAGTGCGACAGCATATTCACGGGAGCGCGCTCCGGAATTGGGCCGCGCGCACAAGGGCGTAGGAGGAAGGGGAAAGCCTCCTTAGAAGGAGGCTGCTTCTTAGAAGGCGCGGGCCCTACATGTACAGACAAGGCCCACGCCTTTGAAGCCTTCCCCCCTCCCCCTGCCCCCCCCTCTGCGCGTGCCCGAGGAGTCCAAACCGCAAGGGCGTGGATACGGATACGTTTGCCGCTCGCGAACCCCGGCCTGTTCATGAAGAGGTATGCGTCGGTGCCGAAGCCCTCCATGGACTCGCGGGGCCGGCGCCCGCCGCTCCCGCGCCCCCCCCCCCCCCCGCCAGTCTGTTCCGTCCTCTGCGCTCCCCCTCCCTCCCTCCCCCTCGCCTCTCTCACCTCTCTCCCTCGCTCCCTCCCTCAGTCCTTTTCCTTCTTCTTCTCCTTCTCCTCTCTCGCTGTGTTCTCTCTCTCTCTCTCTCTTTCTCTCTCGTTCTCTCTTTCTACCCCCCCTCTCTCTCGCTACGTTGTTTTGTCTATATCCTTATTTCTCTCTTTTGTTCTCCCTCTCTCTCTCTCTCTTTCTCTCTCTCTCTCTCTCTTTCTCTCTTTCTCTCTTTCTCTCTTTTTCGCCTTTTCTCGCTCTCTCTCTCTCTCGCTCTCTCTCTCTCTCTCTCTCTCTCTCTCTCTCCATTTTTCCCCCAAAACAATGCTTGGATCTACGGATCCCGACACGTCGTATAAGGAACTGGCCTTGAAGGTCGGTCCGGCGGCTGTGTCGTCGCCGTCGCCGCCCCGTCGCCGCCCGTCATCTGGGCTTGCGCGCCTGTCTGGTGGCTATGTCGTCGCCGTCGCCGCCTTGTCGCCGCCTTTTTGCGGTACTTTGCGCTGCGCTGCACAGATTCGCTTGTTTTGCATTGATTCGCCTTGTTTTGCCTTGCATTTCGATGCCTTGCTTCACATTGTTTGGCATATTTTGCAGTACTTGTCGCTGCCTTGCGTCGCTTTGCATTGCATTGCTGCGCGTTGTTTTGGTTCGCTTTAATCTGACTCGCGCTGTTTCGCACAGCTGTTCGCTGATTTGCATTGATGCGCATTGCGTTGGATTGCTCCGTTTTGATTTGCATTGTTTGTCATTGTTTGGCACTGCGTGCGTTGTTTTGCATTGCTGTGCAGGTCTTTGCGTTGCACTGGTTTGCGTTAGTGTGCACTGCTGTGCTGTAGTACGTAGATTGCACCACGTAGGTTACAACATTGTAACACTTCGTTCTCCTCTTTCAAAAGCGAATAGGACCTACACCCCGCCCATAACTTCATGATGTCCCTCCGTGTGCCTCATCGTCCATCCGAGAAATGAACCTGTATCATCCCGACCAACCCGATACCCCCCTTTCATTATCTGCAACTATACTGTGCGTGCACACTCGTTGATCATACACAATCGGTTTTCAAGGATCCGTGACAACAGACGGGGCGAAGTGCACATGCGCGCGTCGTCGCGCGCGCACGCGGAAGTCCTTAAACACGCGTTGGTTTCGTACGGATTTCAAAATCGAGTGTCCCGGAAACATACAACAGTCATAGCTTCGCAACAACAGTTGTCAAGCATGCCTGCTTTCGACATGTTCGTTAACTCTGGCCAAAACGGACACTCGCGCCGCATGCCTACATCATGCTGGAGCCCTTGCGCGCGTGATGGGGGCACGATCCGTGTCAGCAACACCATGCGGACCACTCTCGCGCGTCGGCCGCGCGCTCATTTCGAACTCCCCCAAAACCTTCATCACCAACGCGAAGGCGCCGTCACCGTCGCCGGCATGATCAGCATCGGCGCTGTCACAAGCTTTGCCGTTGTCGATGTCAGCATAACCACCAGCATCGTTACTACCATCATTGTGTAAGTGTCCAACGGCCAGCGCCACCGCGGCCGCGTCGGTCGCGCCAAACTAGCAGGCCGCTTCGCGCGCGAGCATGCGCGGGCTAGCGCCGCCGCAGAGATGCACCAGCCGGCGCCAAGCACTCATGGCTATCACCGACGCATGGGTTTTGCAAAACAAGTTGCGGGTGGGTGGGCGGGATGGTTGCGCGAGCAGTTGAGATGGTAAATCGCTGCGAACAGCTTTTCTCCTCAATCAAAAAACACACGTAGATCGCATCATTTCAATTTTCCGTCCAAAAAAGATAACAAGCGGTTTCGCAACAACAACGTTCAACAAAACAACTTGCGCTCGGGCGCTTGTAAATTCTTTCGGACAACATCGATTTTCAAGATTTTCAAGACTTGCTACCAAACGGACCTCCGCGCGCGAATGTCGGAATCGCTCGAACCGCTTTGCGCGCGACCTGTCGCAATAATCTTTAGGAAGCAAATTCACAAGCGCCCGTCGTCGCGCGCGCATGCTGGAATCTTGTCATTTATTTGCACAACAAATAACGAGGTTCTTACGGACTTCCAACTCGAACGCCCCGGTCACATATAAAACACATTCCTGTGCAACAGCAATTCAAAAGAATACGTGCGCTCGCGTTCCTGCGAATGCTTAAGAAAACAAGTGGTTGTTGAACATATTCGACAATGTCATCAATTTCGGCCACACGGGCCCCTCGCGCCGCACGTCCGAATCATTCGAACATCCTTGCACGCGTGCTGGGGGTGCACGATCGGGCCACTATATCGCGTCGGCCGCGCAAGCATGCCGAACTCCCTCCAAAACAATCATCACCGACACCGGGTCGCTGTCACCATCACCGGCGTGATCAGCATTGGCACCGTCACGGGCCTTGCCGTCGTCGATGTCAACATCGTTATCAACATCGTTACTACCATCATAACGTCTACCGTTGTCGACGTTGCCATGATACCGCGCCCGCCCAAGTCGCCGACTCGCGCTGAAGAGCCCGCTGGGAAGTGCCCAGCAGGCAGCGCCACCGCGGCGGTAGCGCCAAACTATATGGCTGCTGCGCACGCGGGCATGCACCGGCTGTCGCGGCCGCGAAGTTGCACCAGCCAGCGCCAAGCACTTATCGCAATCGCCGCCGCACGGCTTTTGCAAGCCAAGTTGCGGGTGGGTGGGTGGGATGGTTGCGCGCACAATGGAATTGACAACTCAATGCGAACAAACGCTAATTGCACCACATTGATTGTGCCACACTTTCATGGCACACCACGTGTTGCACCACATGAATTGCACCACGTAGATAGCACCACATAAATGGCACCACATGGATTGCACCACATTGGTTCAACCACATCTTGCACTGCGCAGATTCCACCACGAACTTGTACCACATAGCAAGCTAGAAAAACACTGCCTGAGGTCCACGCTGGCTAACATGGTAAATCTTTACAGATACCAGCACTGTTTTTGCCCCCAGCCTTCCCGTGTTGAGTATTCGTTTTGACTAGAACACTGTGTTGCCCCACCTCCTCCTCCTCCCCCTCCTCCTTCTCCTCCTCTTCCTCCTCCTTGTCCTCCTCCCACCCCTCCTCCTCCTCCTCCTCCTCCTCCTCCTCCTCTTCCTCCTCCTCCTTCCTCCCTCCACTTTCCTCCCTCCATTATCCACCTCCTCGCTTTCTTCCCTCTCCGCCCTGCCTCGTGACCTCGCCGTCCCCCGGTGGGCATCGATCTGCGAAGCGAAACTGTCGCCACTTTCGTGGGCTCTCGGGAGGCCCAGCGGAGGTACGTCCAACGCGGATCACCATGAGACCTCGCCGTCCCCTGGGGGGCTGCGATGTGCGAAACTGTCTCCATGTTCGTGGTCTTCCGGGAGGCCCAGCGGAAAGATGTCCAACGCGGATCACCACGAAACCTCGCCGTGGATGTGCGAACGTGTCGTTACTTTCGTGGGCTCCTGGGAGGCCCAGCGGAGGTACGTCCAACGCGGATCACTACGAAACCTCGCCGTCACCTGGGAGGCTGCGATGTGCGAAGCTGTCGCCACTTTCGTGGGTCGCTGGGAGGCCCAGCGGAGGTACCTGCGTCCAACTCTGACCACCACGAGACCTCGCCGTCCACTGAGGGGCTGCGATTTGCGAAACTGTCACCACGTTCGTGGGTCTCTGGGAGGGCCAGCGGCGTTACGTCCAATGCGGATCACGACGAGACCTCGCAGTCGATGTGCGAAACTGTCGCCACGTTCGTGGGCTCCTGGGAGGCCCAGCGGAGGTACGTCCAACGCGGATCACCACGAAACCTCACCGTGGATGTGCGAAACTGTCGTCACTTTCGTCGATTCCTGGGAGGCCCAGCGGAGGTACGTCCAATGCGGATCACCACGAAACCTCGCCGTGGATGTGCGAAACTGTCGTCACTTTCGTCGATTCCTGGGAGGCCCAGCGCAGGTACGTCCACCGCGGATCACCACGAAACCTCGCCGTGGATGTGCGAAAGTGTCGTTACTTTCGTGGGCTCCTGGGAGGCCCAGCGGAGGTACGTCCAATGCGGATCACCACGAAACCTCGCCGTGGATGTGCGAAACTGTCGTCATTTTCGCGGGCTCCTGGGAGGCCCAGCGGAGGTACGTCCAACGCGGATCACCACGAAACCTCGCCGTGGATGTGCGAAACTGTCGTCGCTTGCGTGGGCTCCTGGGTGGCCCAGCGGAGGTGCGTCCAGCGCGGATCACTACAAGAGCTCGCCGTCCACTGAGGGGCTGCGATTTGCGAAACTGTCGTCACTTTCGCGGTTTCTGGGAGGCCCAGGGGAGGTACGTCCAACGTGGATCACCACAAGACCTCGCCGTCCACTGAGGGGCTGCGATCTGCGGAATCGTCACCACATTCGTGGGTGTCTGGGACGCCCAGCGGAGATACGTCCAACGGGGATCCCCACAAGACCTCGCCGTCCCTTGCGAGACACCTCGCCGCCCCCTGGGGGGCAGCGCTTTGCGAAACTGTCGCCACATGCATGGGCTTCTGGGAGGCCCAGCGGAAGCACGTCATACGCAGATCTCCACGAGACCTCGCCGTCCCCTGGGGGGCTGCGATCTGCGAAACTGTCGCCACGTTCGTCGGCTTCCGGGAGTTCCAGCGGAATGACGTCCTACGCGGATGACCACGAGAGCTCGCCGCTCCTTGGGGGGGCTGCGATCTGCGAAATTGTCGCCACATGCGTGGGCTTGTGAGGGGCACGTCCTACGCGGATCACCACGAGACCTCGCCGTCCTTTGGGGGGCAGCGATTTGCGAAACTGTCGCCACATGCATGGGCTTCTGAGAAGCCCAACGGAGATACGCAAAACGCCGATCACCACGAAACCTCGCCGACCCCTGGGTGGCTGCGATCTGCGAAACTGTCGTCACTTTCGTGGGCTCCTGGGGGGGGGGCCAACGGAGGTACCTCCCACGCGGATCGGGAGGCCCAGCGGAATGACGTCATACTCAAATCTCCACGAGACCTCGCCGTCCCCGGGGGGGCTGCGATCTGCGGAACTGTCGCCTCTGTCGATGGCTTCTGGGAGACCCAATGGAAGTACGTCCAAAGCACACCACCACAAGACCTCGCCGTCCCCTGGGGGGGGCTGTAATCTGCGAAACTGTCGCCACATTCGTGGGCTTCTGAGAAGCCCAACGGAGATACGCAAAACGCCGATCACCACGAAACCTCACCGACTCCTGGGGGGCTTGCGATCAGCGAAACTGTCGGCACATTCGTGGGCTTCCTGGAGGGCCAGCGGAGTGACGTGGCGTGTGCGAGCGCCGCGCAACGAATAGCGCATGGAGCTGTCCATTGCCCATGCCGCATCCCTTGGCACATGCTACGTTTTGCGCAGGGCGTTGTAGTGTCATAGCGCGCCGAGCGCTGTCCTGCAATGCGAATACTGCGCAAGGCGATGCTACTCCCACGAAGTATGTCTCCGATCGTCCCTCCTCCACATGTTTCCACGCCCCCTCGTGGTCGCTCTCCTGCCAACGACCTGACTCTTAAGAGTCACGCCGCATATGCGAAACATCTGAGTCTGGCCTGACGTTCGTTGGCGAAGCGTTCAAGCATTGCAATGTATACTCGCCGCATGCTTTAAAAAAGGGTTGGGTACGTCCACGAATATGTTGTTTCGTCTCTCTCTTTCTCTCTCTCTCTCTCACTTTGCATCTTTCTCTCGATCCCTCTCTCTCTCTCTCTGCTTCTCCCTCTCTCCTTCCGGCAGACGACCCCAGTTTGCGAATGCGCTAGGCCTTCAACACCAGGTCGCCCCCGTAGTATCTCGCATGGAGACGGGCCAGCGGCAACCTCGGTACCGAAGCGTGGCCGACAAGCAGAAACAACCCCAGGGCATTACAAATCACCGCGTCCTTCGCATCATCCTCACAACGATCGTGGCAATGATCCGCTAACGTGCCGCCAGGCGCTCAGTGGAGTGTCCTCAGGCCTCTGCGGGTTCTCTGTGGTGAGCACCGCGGGGGCTCTGTAAGGGGCCGAAATGTCCAAGGGCGCCAACTTTTACAAAGGCCAGAGGGCACCAAGACGGCAAAGTCGTCCCAAGAATGTCCAAGGGGCACCCAAGAGGGCCAAAAATCAGCCCCAGCGCCCTAAGACTGCACAGGAAGGCCCCAAGACGGCCCAAGACGCTTTCAGACGCGCCCTGGCCCAGAGGGGGAAGGCAAAAGGCCCTCGAGAGCTGCTTCCCGAAAGACTGCTCCCCAAGATCCCAAACATGCCTTCAATAACCATACAGAAGCGCACAAGAGGCCCTATGAGTCCCAGAAGGTGACTCCAAGACGCGCCAAGAGCCCTTTCAAAAGGCATCCAGGAGGTCCCGGAGGAACCATCCCAGGAGACCCGAACAGGTACCCACGAGGGTTGAAGATCGAAAGCTACGACAGGACAAAAATCACTTTAGTCATGAGATCATCATCCTTCATCCTCGTTAACATGATCCTCCTCCTCCTCCTCCTGCTCCCGTTCCTCCCTATGATCGTCCTCCTCCTCATCCTCCTCATCGTGTTCATCCCCCTCTTCCTCCTCCTCCTCCCCCTTCTCTCTCTGCCACTCCCCCGTGGCCCGTCCAACACCAACTCCACTTTCGTCTCCCCTCCCCTCCCCCCCTCCCCCCCCCCCTCGCCCCTCCACGCCTCGTCCTCCTCCGCTTCTCCTCCTTTTCCCCCGTCCTCCTGGAATCCTCACGCCGCCGCTCGCCGCCCGGCCCGAAGGCTCATCAACATTACTTTTTAACAATGTATACTGTGCGACGTGATCATGCGCAAACACACCTGCAAAATTTACTCCACCCACCGGAAAAAATTGTGGGTGGTATCGTCCACCGGTCATGTTACGACATCCAGCGGGAAAATCATCCACGGGAAAATCCACATCCACCAGAAATCCAAAGGCATCGACCAGAAACCATGTCAATGTATGATCTTGTTATTTGCCTGATTGATCCTTACTGTCATCACGCGCTCGTTGTTCCACGATGTTTCATGTGATTAATCGATTGGTTGGTCCTCCTCAACAAAATCCCGATCCCCCCCTTCGGCCTCATATGGGTTTCCTCGCGCGATTGCCATCGATGGTCCCCATCGCGTAGACTCACGCGTCTTCCTGCTGTTCCTCAATGTCCCGCGCTCCCCCCCAACACCATGTTGATGACCATCTGCCCTCCCTCCTGGAGGATTGGTATTTTGAAGCCGAGGGAAAGAGGGGCGACGGTGAGATCCGATGTAATCGGCGATGACGACGACGAGCAAGGAGGCTCGGGGGAGATAGGAGTGGCGTCACGGAGTAGCGAGAGCCACAGGCCGTGCGAAGACCTTCTCCTCATAACGCCTATGCCTCAGTGGATGATTCTGGCCTCGGCCACAGCATCCAACAGACATATTTTGACATCCGCCCGAAACCTTCGCACATGCACCGGCATGCAGGCTCAGCAGCGAGTGCATTTCTCGTCCTCTGAACTCGTCCACTGGGAAGCCGTAGTTTGCCTGTCACATCACAACAAATTCAACGTACAAAGCATTATCTGCACACCCGCCTCCGCACCCAGCCGGCTTGGCCGGTGGATGCCACCCGGCTTGGCCGGTGGATGCAGAGGCGGTTGCCTTGGGGTCCTCCTGTGGTCTCGGACTGAGTATGCCCAACTATTCGGGCACCCCTGGTCCAGTTCGCCCTCAGCGTATCGGCGTGTGGTTGGCCATCCTCTTCAGGACCTGCCACAACCAACCACACGGGGCAGGCCGACGCTGTCACGAACGACATCCCTGTTGCCGCCGTAGAGAAAACACCACGCGTACCTCTTGAATGCAAGATACACTGTGTCTGGCTGTATTCTGGGATTCCTTCGTACACACCAAAATTGCCAGAAGATGTCCAGCAAAGCTCTTGGAACCAGCTGTTTTGGCCTTCGGAGAAGGGAGGAAACAACTGAAACGGCCGTCATTCCACCGCTGAAGCCAACGCCCACCGGCGAGCGGGCTAACACGAGCGCGACGCTAAAAAACAACGCTCGTGAGTCTCCCGCCGCCGTGCACCCCGGCCGCGGGCGGTGGCCCTGCGAGCCCGTCTCGGGGAAAGCGGCGCCCAGTCCGGGCCGATCCCCGCGGCGGCGGCGGCGGCCAGCCCAGGCCTGCCGACTGGGGCGGGAGGCTGGGAAGAGCTCGGGGGGTGGACGCTCGGGACCGGGGACGTGGTCAGGATGTCGTGGGACGCACGAGGACGTACTAGTACTACATGTCCTCCTCGGAGGCGCGCGTCCGACCAGAACATACAGTATACTAGTATACCCATCTTGTCATTTATCTTTTCCTGAGCGGTGTGGCCAGCAAGCGCCCGCCACAACGCATAACCTATGAGATGCCTCGGTGCGCGCGTCGTCCCTCGAGGGGGCGACGCACACATAGTATTAGTATGTCGGGGTGACGCGGATCTCGGGGCATTGACACTTTGGACTGGGGACGCGGTCAGTGTGTCGCGCCGATGCGTGGATGGCCAGATCGTTCCTGGCTGAGCAAAACGTTCCTGTCCGCATGCGGTAGACCCAGCTCGTCTGCTCTGCGTGCCGACAGGGGAAGCACCCGGTACGACTGCGAAGGCACAAACTGCTGAACTCGGACCTGCAAGCGGGCAAACCGAAACGGAAGGGGCTGCGGCAAGTTGGCCCCAACAAGAGCGACGCCGGTCGGCCTCTAGACGTTTCCGCCGGTCCCTGGACAGGGAAGAACCTGGAGACCCTCGAGCCCCTGGGAGGCCTCCGAGGGCCCTCGGCCCCCAGGCCCCTCCTGCAGGGCATCCTGCGCGGCTTGCGACACGGTCCGGGCCGTGGCGACGAGGAGGCCCCAGGAGGCGCAAAGAAGTCGAGGCGCGCCAGGGAGGCCCCTTTCCCTGCGGCTGTTCGAGGGCACCCCCTCCTCCTCCTCCTCCTCCTCCTCCTCCTCCTCCTCCTCCTCCTCCTCTTCCTTCTCCTCCTCCTCCTCCTCCTCCTCCTCCTCCTCCTCCTCCTCCTCCGTGGCCAAGGCTGCAGCACCTGCCCCCGCCGCCGCCGCCCGAGGGGCGAGCCCAGTGCCCTTGGCGGCGTCCTGCACCCCGGCCTTGCCCACCACGTCAAAGTAGCTCCAGGCCAGAAGCATGTCGCTCCTCTCGGGGCGACGGAACGGCCCCGATCCCCGAGAACTGGATCTTCTCAATCTCGGCGTGGTTCCTCGACATCCGCCTCCGGCTCCCGGCATCGGGCCCCGGGACCACCAAAAATAGATCCGGGACGGCAAGGTGTTCCCAAAAAAGGGGGCGGGGACCTCTGGAGCATGCCGCTGCTGTCAAGGCGGAGTTGGAGGCGTGAAGGGGTTCCACGACTTCTGCTGCCCCTCGACTCGCGCAGGAGCTCCAGATATTCCTAGAGATCTCTGGATGTACCTCGATCCATATGGATATGCCCATATCTGCTTGGACATATCTGGATTGGCCTGGCCTGATCCCCGCAGGTCGCATAGAGAAAGAGAGGTAGTGAAACCCTCGGACAGCCTCGGGGCAAGGAGGAGACGGAGGACAGACTGCTGCTGCCGGCGTGTTCAACCTTGCTCGCAAGGCGGCCTCCTCCTCCCCCTCGGCGGGTGCCCCTACGACCGGATCCAGGGCAGAAGAGCATCCTCCAAGAAGGTGAGACCCTCCGCTAGCCAAAACAGACGTAACGTTCGAGGGCACCCTCCCCCAGGTTGCACAAGAACATCCACCACTCGAATAACACGAGGGTACCCTCCCCCAACCGACCTCGATCTTACACCTCGGTCCGACCGCACTCCCACTTTCTCAACTGTCGCTTAGCTGGTTCCATGGGGCAGTTGTTAGCGTCGCCAACGCCACACTAAACAATGCGAAACATCGGTTCTCGCTGGCGATGGGTTAATATGCCGCCCGCCCCTTGTCAAATCTCGAGGGCGCACATGGGGTACTTCGTGGTTCACCGAAGGCACCGTCGCCAAACTGATGATCAACAATTCCAGTATTTCGCATCCAGGGCATTTGGGGCGGCACTGTCGCCAAATACGTAGCACCCCGCAGTTGCGCAGAAGAGTGAGGGGGCACGAGGACGTCAGCAGTCTGCGAGGCTCTGAAGAAGCCCGCCGCAGGCGCCGATGTCTTCGTTGAAGCAATGTGAGTGTATAAGTCGCGGGTGGGTCGCGGGTGGGTCGCGGGCCGGGTCGCGGGTGGGTCGCGGGTTGGTCGCGGGTGGGACGCGGGGAGGGTCGCGGGGTGGGTCGCGGGGTGGGTCGTGGGATGGGTCGCGGTTGGGCGCGGGGTGGGTCGCAGGGGGGTCGCGGGGTGGGTCGCGGGGTGGGTCGCAGGTGGGGTAGCGAGGTGGGTCGGGGGTGGATCGCGGGTGGATCGCGGGTGGGTCGCGGGGCGAGTCGCGGGTGGGTCGCGGGCCTGATCGCGGGGGGGACGACACCCAACAACAACAACAACAACAACAACAACAACAACAACAACAACAACAACACCAACAACAACAACCACAACAACAACAGCAAGCAAGCAAGCAAGCAAGCAAGCAAGCAAGCAAGCAAGCAAGCAAGCAAGCAAGCAAGCAACAAGCATCATGCAACAAGCAGCCACAACATCAACATTGACAACAACAACAACACCACCAACCACAACAACAACGACAACGACAACGACAACAACAACAGCATCAACAACAACGACGACGACGACATCAACGACAACGACAACAACACCAAACACACCAACAACATCAACAACAACAACGATAATCCGCATCGCGGACTCCCACTTCAGCCACGCACCGTGGGACAGTGAATGACGTTCTCTGATTTGCTTGCGGACATCCGCCACCGTGCCGCTGGGCACAAGCTAGGCGTTTCCTCAGGTCCTTTCACTATCCCTCTGAGCCCTAATCGTCCATCCTGGATAGTTCTTCAGGGCGGGGCCCAACATTCTCAAATCTTCTTGGGCTTGGCGCGTCTTCTGGCGTGACTGCTTTGGGCCCAAGAGGGCCCCAAGACGAGCCCAGGCACGGTGGCGGGATGGGCCGACGGCCATTCGATAGGGAACTTGACAATATTCCTCCCACTTTCCTTCCTCTTCCTCTTCCTCCTACTTACAATGCGCACCGTCATCGCCCCCCAAGGGCCGAGTGTGCCCAGGCCGCGAGGCAGCGAGGCGGACTTTCCGCACAAGCACCATTAGAAGTACCATTACCACGCCCCCCCCTCCTCCCCCTCCTCGCTCACCACCTCCTCCTCTCCTGGAAATGTGCTCGAAACTCCTCCTCATCCCTCAGGAAGATTTCGATCAGGAAGAAGATGGGATGAATGAGAAGGAGGAAAAGAGGACATGGTGAAACATGATGCTGTGGCAAATGCTGATGCTGATGCTGATGCTAGAGATGGCACTGGCGATCATGGTGATGATGGTGATGATGAGGAATATGAAGGAACTGATGATGAGGAGGAGGAGGAGGATTATGAAGGTGATGATAAAAATGCTGATTCTGGCGGTGATGATGAGGATGATACAGGTCGCGATGCGATTGCTGGTGATGGTGATGAGAGTGATGACACTGATGATGATGATGATGATGATGATGATGATGATGATGATGATGATGATGATGATGGTACTGCTACTGAAGATGACTTGTGGGGTCCAAAACCCGGATAGCAGGGCGGCCGAAGGACGTGAAAAGGCCTGACAAAGAACTCAGGAAGGACCTGGAGAGAACTTCCGAAAGACCTTCTGGAGAGCTTCCAAGCACGCGAGACGCTTAGAAAAGGCCTGCCGGAACACGCTGCAGGGTCAAGCGAGTCCCGCCGAGGTGTGTGGACCGACGCCAGAACGATCTCTGGGGCTACCCTGCGGCTCCGGCTTCTTAGTCTGAAGCCCTCTTAGCTCTCCAAGGAGCCATCCGGGAATGATTATGAAGATGATGACGATGCTGATGACGATGGTGATGATGATGAGGATGATGATGATGATGGTGATGCTGATGTTGATAATGATAATCATGCTGATGGTGATGGTGGTGGTGATCGTGGTGGAGGTGACGACGACGATGACGACGACGACAATGACGACGACGATGAGGATGAGACGGATGTCAAGGAGGAGGAGGAGGACGACGATAGGGGGAGGATGAGGAGGAGGAGGGGGAGGATGAGGAGGAGGAGGGGAGGAGGATGAGGATGAGGAGGACGACGACGATAGGAGGGGGAGGAGGGGAGGAGGAGGAGGATGAGGAGGAGGAGGAGGACGACGATAGGGGGACCAGCTCGGGGATGCACGATAGGGGGGCGTCGACCCTCGATGGGGGTGCGTCCGAACAGCCCTCTCGTGGGGGTGTGTCTACGATGTCCCCTCCTTTTTCTCGGCGGCTTGATCTTTTCGTAGGAAATCGCGGGGGGGGGGGGCGAAAAAAGCACCTGTGCGTTTGCTCCACGGCCCGCGCCGCATCCCCACCCTCTCTGGCGAGCAGCGCGTGCGGGGTGCGGCAGGCTTCTGCCGTGGCGACTCGTGCCTGTGTTTCTGCGCCGCGTCCATCGCTGAGGGGGGGGGGGGGAACATGCGTGATGCGTCAGAATGATTGTAATTCAGGTTCCACCCTATTGGCGCATGCGGAAGCCCACGAACTATACTACAAACGTCCGATGTCCTCGATCCTCGATCCGCGATCCTGCTCATCCCCCCCCCTACTCCTCCTCCTCATCCTCATCATCAGCATCAGCATCATCAGAAGCATCAGCATCGTCATCGTCATCACCATCGTCGTCATCATCAGCATCAGCATCGTCTTCATCATCATCACCACCACCATCACCATCATCACCATCACCATCACCATCACCATCATCATCATCATCATCATCATCATGATCATCATCATCATCATCATCATCATCATCATCATCATCACCATCACCATCACCATCATCATCGTCATCATCATCACCATCAGCATCAACATCATCATCATTATCAACATCATTATCATCATCCCCTGTATCCGCCGAGTCTTACCCCTCCTCCCGCCGCCCCCTCCTTCTGCTGCCGACCTCCCTGTACCTTCCCGGTTTCCTGCCGCTTTATCGTCCCCATCCTTGCCCCTCGTCCCACTTCGTCCCCCTTGCCCCCGTATCCGTCTCGTTCCCTCGCCCCTCCCCCTCTTTCTGGCCAGAATGCCTGACCTCCCCGCGTCCCTTCTGGGGAGGTGGGCCTACATATGAAGAGTGAGTGCCAGTGATGCGGACGGGGGGGGGAGAGGGGGGAGTGGGAAGAGTGGGTTTGAGGGACGGACGACAGAGGACGATGGGGGGAGAACAAGGGCGGGAGGGGGCGAGATGGGGAGAAGAACAGGATGGGGATGGAAGGGATTGAGGAGAGGGACGAGGACAAGGGAGTGAGGGGAGGGGAAGGAGGGATGAGGGGGATTTGAGGAGGAAGGGATGGAGGGTGTGGAGAGGTGGAACATGTGGAGAAGCTGGTGAGCGCGGAGGGAGGGAGAGAACACCCGAGGGAGGGGGGAAGGGGAGGGAGGGAGAGAGCTCGCAGCTCATATGGTCTGATGCGTGTGGCACCGCGGTGGGGGAGGAGGCGGAGGGTTGAGGAGCAGGCGAGGGTTGGAATGGAGGGCGAGGGAGTGGAAGGCAGGGAGGCCAAACCATGGAGGGAGGAAGACAGAGAAAGGGAGAGAGAGAGAGAGAGAGAAAGAGAGAAAGCGAGAGGGCGAGAACGAGAGAGAGAGAGAGAGATAGCGAGAGACAGAGAGAGAGAGGAACAAACAACAGAGAGGGAAAGAGGAGGAGGGACGGGAACGAGAGACGGGGGGAGACGAGAATGGTTGGTACTCCTCCCACGCCTCCTCGTCTTCCTAATCCTGTCTTAATCGTCTCTCTTTTCCGATCGCCTCCCCCTTCTTCTTCTCCTGTTCTACCTGGTGGGCTGAAAAAAGGAAGCGACAGACCATGGTCGAGGAGGACGACGGGCAGCCGATGAAGGAGAAGGAGAGGGGGTGAATTGGGAATTAGAGGGGGAGGAATGGAGGATGTTGGGGGGGAGGATAGATGAACAACACATTGCATATACATAAACCTTTGTAGGTCCGCGCGGGTTTCTTGGGTCCGCGCTGGACCCCCCCCCCCCCCCCCGACGCGCGGTACGCGTCAGGGGCGGCGCTGGAGGCGCGGATCCAAGACATCCAGGTGGAGCTCTGAAAGTTCATGTTTGTGCAAACATGCTTCCTCGAGAGGAGGGATGATGAGGGTTGGATCAGGGATGGGGTCTCGACCCGTATTCCTCCTCCTGCGCCTCCCCCTCTCCACCTCTCCATCTTCATCATAATCCTCCCCCCCTGCTCCTGCTCCAGACCCTCACGAAGGATGAGGACGGAGGGGGGAGAGGAATAAGGTACGCTTCTCCTCCGTCCGCAAGCAAGCATCACTGATACATGAACTTGGGCATGCAACGCCAGTGCCAGTGCATTCTTCACAGGATGCATCTTCGAGGGCGGTGTTGAAAAATTGAGTGGCCTGTCATATTCACCAATCCAATGCCAAGTTGTTTGATTACTGTGCTGGCGGAACGTGACGGCTCATGCAGAACCCACGCATCCGACCAACTTGCTTCAAATTGCCGACGCTGCTAGACGGAACGGGTAGGTTAGGTTGAAAATGGCACATGTCGTTGGCGGTGCGCACAAGGGGGGTCGAGGGAGGGGGAAGGGTATTCGAAAGGAGGCTGCCTCTTAGAAGGCGCCCGCCATACATCTACAGATCAGGACCACGCCTTCTGAGAAGCAGGGGTGCTCCTAAGAAGTCTTCCCCCCTCCCACTACCCCCCCTTGCGCTTGGCCGAGTAGGTTGAAAATGGCACAGGTCTACGGAGTGGTAGCACCACGCGGGCGCGGCGCAGCGGTGCAGGCACACGCCGACAGCAGAGGCGATGCGTAAGAGACAGGCGACGACCCCCGCCGAGCGAGGAGGGCAACGACGAGATGAAGGGGAGGGAGGCACTGCCCCCGTCGCCCCGTGGGCGGCACATTCGATTAAGCCGGCGACCGTGATGTGCAGCTGCCGGGCTCGCACCGGGATCGGGAGGGGGGGGGCGACCCTGCGCTGGGGAGGCGCGAGGGAGGGGCGGGCGCCGCTGAGCACCCCAACAGAAGACTTGATCGGGCATCCCATCGGTCTACCAGTAGGGTCCCCAATTGACCGAAGCATGCCTGTCCCGACCGTCAACTGGCCGTCCTGCAGCTTCACAGTCCAGGGCGCAGTTGCACACCATCAGCGTCGGCTTCGCACTCACGATAGGCATGAAGCACCACGAAACCCAGAGCACACGCCGCCCCCACAGCAGTGCGAGGGCGACAGGGTGTGCTCGTGGGACGGCTGAAGCTCCGCCGACAAACATACTGACAACTCATCTGCCCGGCGGACAACCAGGACCCAGTATGGAAAAATGCACTCGCGGCGAAGGGCACTGGACCGCGTCCTCGACCGACACGACGAACCCTTCATGCTCGACGCGGTTGTTGCTGGCGCCCCCCCGTGGAAACACCGCACGCAGCCGCGAAATCCGGGCTGTCTACGCGGTATCGCACCCAGCCACTCGAAGCCAGGCGCGACCCGCCAGCACCCTGATTGCGCGCAGTTCCGTCGGAGGCGTACACGGTCTAACCCTCTGGGGACGTCGGGGCCTGTCGTGCTGTGAAGGCCCGGCGTGCCGCCTCGTGAAGTTGCCAGAGCTGCTGATATTGAAGGGAGCTGACAGGTTCTCCTCGCGCGTGTTTTCAAGTCGTGGGGAAAAGGGACAGCAGGGGCCGCCGAAGCCTCGCGATCGTGAGGCAGTCACAGATGCGGCGCTGTCAACAGCGACCCCCGCACCTCGCACAACGCTTGGCTTTCATCCTTGTGGGCTACAGAGTCGCTAGGTGGCGCACAGCAGAAAGGGCATGGGCGACATTCCTGCGAGCGGACGGCCTGAAAGCGGTGGCTGGCTAGTTTGCCCGGTGCGTCATGGTCCACCGATGACCGATGCTCTCTTGGGGCCTCAGACAGCAGATGGCGCAAGCTACTCTCCACTGGGGACCATGACAAGCCGCGGGACGCAAGTCTTGCGCGCACGATCGCCCGCGCGAGCAACGGCGCCTGCAGAACAGCCAGGAAGCACAACTGCCGCGACCCCCGTTTGACTGTTCTGCCCGTGATGCGCAAGAACGCGCTGCATGTCCAGGCAATTGACGACGAGGAGCGCAGTCTGGCTGCAGGCGCACTTCTCTGCATATCAACTTGCCGCCGACCCCATATAATTGCGCGCCCGTGCCCCCCACCACCTACAAGCAAGTCGTCATCGATATCAGACTGGCCATGCTCCCAAGAAACGGACCCTCGCCTCCAGCAGCGTGCGGAACAGGCGTTTGACATTACAGAAGACTTCGAAAGGGCACCAGCGGGCGGACTCCAGAAAATAAGATGGCAGGTCGCGCACGGCGGACAAACTGGGGCCATCCAGAAGCACAAACGCAGAAGCGTAGGATAACACAGGGAGACCGCACGCGTTCCATGCAAGTCACCTGGTTGCAAGACTCGTCTGGACCTGCCAAGGCCAACGAGGCGGGAAGTGAGCAAAAAGCCATGCCGATGCATCACTCGAAAGGTCGCCAAAGAGACCACCAGCAGACCAGCAGGCCCCGCAAAGACCCCCGAGCATCCCCTCAGACTCCCCCAATGCGCTCCGAAGAGGCCCCAGGAAACCTCAGAAAAACCTCTTTGAAGGACGGGTTCTGAGGCCCTGCCCAGCCGTGGCACGAGGACCTTGGCACGTATCCTCAAGGGGGCAGGAGGGAGGGTGATGAGGCGGGCGCGAGGAGCCGAAGCCCCAAGCACGCCTCACCCGTGCCTGAAGGGGGCCACCACTTTCCCATCTCCCCGGTATGCGTGGGGAGGGAGGTCGAAAAGCTGAGCCCGAAACTCTGTGGAGCGTGAGGAAAGCGGGAGGGGAGGGCCGGTCGGAAAAATGGTGTTCGTATGAGAGCTCGCAACCAAGACAGACAATCAGGAGGGAGGAAGGAGGGACGAGGAGGGACGAGAAGGAGTGAGGCGGGAGGCGGAGAGGAGAGAGAAGGGAGGGAGGGAGGGAGGGAGGAGGGGGGGGAGGGAGGGACGAATGAGGAGAGGAGGAAGAAGGAGAGAGGAGCAGGAGGAGGAGGCGGGGGAGGAGGAAGAAGCAGGGAGAGAGGAAGGAGGTAGAGGGACGACGGCGACGACGTTGAAGCTCCTTGCGATGCCCCCGCCCTGGTCGGATATCTTGACGCATACCTCCTCGGCGCGGGCGCTCGGCAAGGAATGGGCCGAGCGGAAGCCCACGGCCGCCCGTGCCCCTCACCTCCTCCGTCCTGCCTCCTCCTCATCCCCGCTGCTCCCTTCCCTCGCCCCCCCACCCCCCTCGACCCCCGCCCCCCTCACTCCCCGCCTCTTCCATCCGAACTCCTCCATCTCTCCCCGCATTCCCCCCCTCCTGCCCCTGCTCCTGATCCTGCTCCTCCTCCTGCCATGCCGTCCCCCACCATCATCCGTCCCCCACCCGTGATCCGAGGACGCGAACAATTATAAATTCGGGGAAGCATCACGATCGAGCCTCAAACCCCCACTTTCGAGCCGCATCGATATGAACAGGTCCCAAAATCCTAAATGAGACGAAACCGCCAGAGGTATGGAAAAGTTGCTGCGCGAGGATCTCGAGGACCCTCCCCATCCCCATCCTTGCAGGCCTCATGGAGTAGATTGGGTCGGAGGGTCGCGCCGCAGTGCGGATGCATCGCCAATGCATCGCCAATGCATCGGCGATGCACCAGCGACGTCGCCGATGCATCGGCGACGTCTGCGTGTAGAGAACCAGGCTCCACAATGAGCTGCATCGCCAGTGCATCGGCGATGCGGCGCGATCCTCAGACCCCATCTGCTCTCAGCATAAAGAGAAAAGGGTCCTGAGGGAAACGGGTCCTGGACCCTGGGCTTTTCCCCGAGGACGGGATCTTCATCTTGACTCGCTTTCTGACAGCCCAGGGCCCGTGGAGGGCACTGAGAGCCCGAACACGGCGAAAAACCTGAGGACCCGCTTCCCTCAGGACCCGCTTTCCCCACGGCGACTACTCGGACCCCATCTGGGAGGCCCAGAATCCTGCTCCTGCTCTTCGACCGCCCTCCTTTCCGGGGCTCGCTCGAGGGTGCCCCCCAGCCCAGGGTGCCCCAAGCAGTTTTTCGCTCGATGCTGCACCCCTGAGGCCCCCTGAGCCTCGTGAGGGGTGCTCCTGGGGGGCCGTGGGGGCCTCCTTGGAACTCCTGGGGGGGCACCTCGGGCCAGGGGCACCTTGAGCACCCCCCCTTTCCCTGCGCGGCCCGCGGCCCTCCGCTTCTCTCTTCGGCCAGGGCGGGGGCACCCCGGCGCGCCTCGTCCCCGTGCGCGAAGATCGCCTGCACGGGGGGTAGGCGGCTCGCCGCCTTGTCCCTGTGGTGTCTCACCACCGCCTGCGCCGCGGCGGAGAACTAACTTGGACGGGCAGGGGCGGGCGGTTCCTCCTCCTCCTCCTCCTTCTCCTCTTGCGGATCGTTGTTTCCCGGAGGAGCCGGGGGACTGACAGACTGGCGGACACACAGACTTCCGCTGACTGACAGACTGAACTGCACTCAACTGACTGAACTGGAAAGAACTCTAGATAAAAAAAATCCATACCGCTGGGCGCACCCACAAACGCAACCAAGCGGCAGGTGTCAACCCACCCGCGGGCGCAACCGCAACCGCAACAAAAAGACACATTTCAACGCGCCCGCGGGCGTAACCGCAATCGCAACCGCAACCAAGCGACACATTTCAACCTGTCCGTGGGTACATACGCAACTGCAAACGCAACCAAACGACACATTTAAACCTGCCAGTGAGCGCAACCACAACGACAACCGGGCGTCACATTTGAATTCGACCGCGGGCGCAAACGCAAACGTAACAGCAACCAAGCGACGCATTCCGACCCGCCCGCGGGCACATCCGCAAATGCAACAACGCGACACATTTCAACCCGCTCGCGGGCGCAACTGCAACCGCAACCAAGCGACACATTTCAACCCGCCCGCGGGAGCAACCGCAGCCGCAACCAGGCGACACGTTTGAACCCGCACGTGGGCGCAACCGCAACCGCAACCAAGCGAGACATTTCAGTCAGCCCGCGGGCGCAATCGCAACCACAGCCGCAACCAGGCGACAAATTTCAGCCCGCCCGCGGGCGCAACCGCCCGAGGAGCACGAGGTGCAGGAGCACGAGGAAGAGGAGGATATATATATATATATATATATATATAAGGGAGAGGAAAAAAATAGGAAGAGAGGGAGCGGGAAGAGGAGGACGGCCTTGAGAAGGAGGAGGAGGAGGAGGGCGACGACGACGACGATGAGAAGGGGGATGCATGGGTGGTCTGGCTTCAGGGGGTTGCAGGAGCAGATGCCCGTGGAGGAGGAAACCCAATGGCAGGATAGGAAGACGGAGGGCCTGGAGAGGAGGCCGATGATGATCATGAGGAGGAGGAGGAGGAGCAGGAGGAGGAGGACGCGTTGCCAGCGGTTCTCCGCCTGGACACTGCAACGGGAATCCCCATTCCACGCTGCTGCCTCTGACTGTAATTCTGGCAGCGGTCGTCGCCGGCGGGGGCGGGGGTCTTGGGGCCCTTGGTAACGGTGGCGCCAGGGCGGGGTGGGGCACGTCGGAGTGGGGGTGCGCCGCGACGCTATGCACCCGACGCCGCAGGAAACGTGCAAGATCGCCGAAATCAATGACCAGGACCTTGGACCGCCCACTGGCGGCGCGCACAGGGTGGCAGGGAAAGGGGAAAGTCTTCATAGAAACAGGCTGCTTCTTAGAAGGCGCCTGCCCCACAATTACAGACAAGACCCGCGCCTTCTCAGGAGCAGAGGTGCTTCTAAGAAGCCTCCCCCCCTCCTCCTATCCCCTGTGCGCGCGTGACAAAGGAAATGTTACGGTAAGGGCATTGGATTAGGAACTGTTTGATGGGGAACCCCAGGATCTGGAAGCCGGCGGACCGCCAAACGGGCCTTGCGCAAGATGGCACAGCGACCTTACGCGCGGTGGCTTGCGCGGGCCGCCAACGTGGCACGCTACACTGGAAAGGGGGGCGCTTACGCGCGACCTGACGCGTGCAGCTTACGCGCGAATGTCGGCGCAATCGAACCTGTCTTGCTGCGTCGCTCAACAAAGGCTTGGCCATGGATGTCACCGCCGCCCTCAGCATGGAAAGAATCCTCCAAGGTCTGATGCCTGCTGGGTGCATTCCTTAACCGACGCCCCCACCGCCATTCCTCTCTTGCCGCTGCACTGCTCTCAACGAATCTTCGCACGTCCTTTCGCCCCTGGGACCGAGCAATCTTTGTCACGGTGGCAGGATCGGAAGAAAGGGGGAGGCGGAGGAGGAGGAGGGGGACGAGGACGAGGACGGCAAACTGCGAGGAGGAGGCGTTCGGGTGCGACGGGGTGAGACGGGCGAGGAAAGGGCGAGGAAGAGGAAGGGCAGCGAGCGAGGACGAGAAGGGAGGGGGTGTGGGGGGAGGAGGAGTTGGCGGAGGAGGGGGGCGACGACAGGGGGGCGGAGGAAGACAGGATGACGAAGCACAGGAGCACGGCGAACGAGGAGGAGGAGGAGGAGGAGGAGGAGGAAGATAAGGAGGAGGAGAAGAACAAGGAGGAGGAGGAGGAGGAGGAGGAGGAGGGCGAGCCCCCCCAGGAGTGTCAGCAAGAACCACTCAGGCCGCAGAGCTGGTCCTGGGGAAATACCGGGGGTCTAGAGTGACCTGGAAGAGCAAGGCAACTCCCGCGCGCGGTTCGTCTCCCAGTACTTTTCAATGTCAATGTTCGCGCGGGGCGCCACTCGATCCGATCTTTCCGCCGTCGACCGCGACCGACGCCACACTGAGATCGGGGGTCCGGGGGGGGGCAAGAAACCGTAGACATAGCTTGACGACTTTTCGAGAACGGGGTGATCCATTGCCTTCAAAACTCTATTCCTGTCTTGCGAGACAGGCTCGCGCGATGGGCATCGAGCCGATGCCCTGAGCATCTCACTGCGGCGGCAGACGACGGGGGCTGGCCCAGGCCGACGAGGCGAACAAACCTGTAAATCGGCCCGGGCTGGGCACGAGAGGGCCCTCCAGTGGCAATGGCGGCAGACGGCAGACGCTTGGGGCGGGCAGCGGCGGCAGCGGGGGGGGAGGGATGAGAAGGCTGCAAGCGCCGCTCGTGGATGTTTCGGGGGCGCGCAAACATGGATTAGCGATCCATGGATTTGGTGCGCGGTCGCCAAATCCATGGATTTTAGGGAGGTGCCCTCCCCAAAATGCGTCCGCCTCGCTCGGCGGCAGCAATCGGCGATTTCCCATGGAAACGGGACCCATCACTAAGCCACGCCCCCTTAATCCATGTTTGCGATCGCAAGAATGCCCGAGTTGCGGAGGGAGACGCCGTGCTCGTAGCGAGTCCCCCTGGTGGATGTCGTCGCCTTGCTTCTGCCAGCCGTCATGCCGTTCATCATCGCGCTGATGCAGCCCGCCGTGCGGCTGCTCGGCAACGAAGCGACAGAGCTGACGCGACGATCCGAGCCAGCACTGGCGCCGGCGGAGCGGGAGTCGGAGCAGGAGGCGGATCACGCGACGGAACTGCTGACAGGGAGGCCCTCGGAACGACAGCTGGAGCTAGAGTGCGAGCCGGTGTCGCGGACACGAGTCTCGGTCGGAGCTGGGGTGGCCACGAAGGCCTGTTGGGCAAAAAACGCGCGCTCGCGCTCTTGCAAATTCGTAAGACAGCCACCAATGTTTAAAAAACATGTGCATGATGTTCTGCCAAGCGGGCCTCTCGCGCCGCATGCCGACATCATTCGCACGCCCTTGAAGAACGGCAAACAGAGCGGAAATCGGCCGTGCAGTCGGAGCCGTCATCAGAGCCGGCAGTGGCAGGGCAGGCGGAGCGTCGGAACCCGCGTGGCACCTGGCGTGTCCCACGGGGCCTTAGTCGGAGCTGGAGTCGGGCGGGGGGGCAGGCTGAAGTGGGGCGGGCCTCGGAGGCCGCGTTGAAACGTCGGCCAGGGTGGGGTCCGTGGAAAAAGGGAGTGGAGAGGGGAAGGTAAACGAGAGAGGGGGGGGGAAACAGCAGGAGCAGCGGCACGAGGAGGACTGGGAAAGAGGAGAAGCAGGGGGGGACGATGGAGGGGGAGGCGGAGGAGGCGGAGGAGGCGGAGGAGGCGGAGGACGAGGATTCGTTTGCCCCCAAGGCTTCAACTGCGTTCCAGAAAATAAAACTGACAGGTAGCAGCGACACACTGAACAGTTTACATTGGGAATGCTCAGTGAAGAGGGGGATGTCAGTCAAATTATTAACCTGCCCCCTCCCTCGCGGTGGGTGTTTACCCAACAGTATTTGTTTCCACTTAGACTTCTGCTGATAATGCATGATCCCTGGGCACACCGTCTTGTAAAGGCTGGATTTGAAAGGGGAGCCAGTGGACACAACCGAGCAAAAATGCACACGAACATACAACATTGAGCGGTATGAGTAGGGAAACGCAACAATGACATCTCTTTGCGACGAATTCGTTCCCAGACGAGTCCTCTCACCACACCGGTACACACGCGTGGGGGAGGCACGACTGGTCCACAACATTCGATCTAGCAAGACCTGGATGCCGAGTGGCTCGACAACACACTTGACATCTCCATGAATCCGCTATCCATACTCATCGGCATGGAACTCGACTGGTTTGCACCGAATCCTTTGGAACGGGCACATGCTCGACGTCATCCTGATCCTTTAGAGAGGGAAAAGACGGAGCACCTTCGTCGCAAGCTTGCAAAACGCAGAGGTAAACTTTTTCTTTCCACAAACAAAAAACCCAAGGGCCTTGTGGGTCTCTCGAGTGCCAAAAGGGGCAGTGGGCCACGGACGGCACGGACGACAGCGCGCCACGCTCCCGTGGCACGCCGCATGTGCGGCAGCCGACCGCGGAGGCAGTCCTGCAGACAGGACAGACACAAGCTGTGCCAGCACCGCTCAAACAGGCACAAGCTAACCAGGCCCTTGCCTGCCAGGCCCCAACGCACTGGCAACAGCCGGATACCTCCTCGTGAGCACACGAAGACGAGCTTCAAAAATGTCTGCCGCTTCGTTCGATAGGCGAAGACGGATGATCTGATGCGTGTAAACGAACGCATCGCACATGCAGGCACACAGCAGCGAAATCTCATCGGGGAGGGAGTAGAGGAGGATAACGGTTGCAACCCAAGGAATCACAACAGGAGCGATAGGAAATCGTGATCCCATCCATCTGACACATATCTCGCGAAAGCGACGGCAGAACTTGTAGTGGCGCGTGTCGTCAAAGTCTCTGGACATGTCGAATCCAGACCCAAGACACGAACACCCAAATATACAACCACGAGGGGAGGAGTGATAGCGAGCGCTAGTACAGACACC